AATACTGTTAAAAGCGGCGTTAAACCCAACTCACTCACTCACTCACTATTACTATTTTAAGCCCTTTAAGACCACCGGTAGCTGTGTCGGTAGATAAGCCAGACTGGTCATTCTCGGGTGTCGACACTGTACATATATTTCAGATTCTGCTGGAGCAGGTTAAGGTAAATGACAGCAGCCCCACAACATACAGATGGGAGTTTGGGGCCTACGACGTTGACGTTGATGACAACATGACCGTCTACTACACACAGCCAACTAGCGGGAACCTCACCGTCGGCGACGTGAACACCGTAGTACCCTGTTCATACAACACGGTCAGTGCACAGATGCTTAGAACTCGGAAATATATATATAATAAACCCTTACCCTTGAAGGTCCGGGGTAAAATGAGTCATCAGCAACCCACGCTTGCCGTAGAAAATGACTATTATTTTGGTAAGAGTCGACTAACGGGATCGGGTGGTCATGCATGTCATCGTCTTCCAATTGCGTGGATCGATGCTCATGATGTCCATCAATGGATTGTCTGGTTCAGACTCGATTATTTACAGACCGCCGTCATATAGCTTGAAAATTGCTGATCATGAGTGCGCCTTAAACAAGAAACAAACAAACAATCTTTCAATAATCAAAAGAAAAATTGTTTGATGAGGCTTTGCTCATTGCCAGACACAAACACACACACACACACACACACACACACACACACACACACACACACACACACACACACACACACACACACACATATATATATATATATATATATATATATATATATATATATATATATATATATATATATATATATGATGTTTGCTTATGGTTGAACTTCATTTAAAGAAGGAAGGTAATTTTATCATATTTGTGAACAAAGGGTTTATGATTCATGCCATGGATACTGTCTGCTTTTCATGATTCATCACTGATTCAGTGATCCATTCATATCATTTTCACAGCTATTTTCGCTTTTGTGCCGATGAAATATGTTTCGGTTGATAATCGCTATCCTCAGGCGTCGATATTAACAAACTTATGATATGTACATAATGGTCAAAGCAATATCACTGTGTTATCTTGCAGGGATCGTAATACAGCCATCCTCGTTCAAAATTGATTCGTGATTACCTATTTTAGGTGATGTATTTTAGAGAAGCGTTCATGTATTACCTTAGTAACCGTTGGACATTGTGTTTATGCTTGGAATCTTGTGGCTTCAACGTTCTTTTTCCTGTTACGAACAAAATACTTGATTTACTTGATTCACTCGTCATTACATAACTCTGCAATCCAGACAAAACCATGATTTATACCATATCTTGGTTTAAAATGTACATGTAGATTGTGTAGTTCAGTGTTAAAGGCGTTCACTCCTGCTCACGCCAATGACCCGGGTTCGATTCTCCAGGCTGGTACGATGTATAGTGTCAATGCTAGGGGTCCGTGATATAACTGAAAAATTTCAACTCCGGCATAAAGCGCATCTTATTGGCACATCTACTCACCAGTATAAATGGGCGTATATTAAACTGATTTCAGAGCGGCATCCCCTGTGACAGCCTCCACCTCCCCCATCCTGCCGACACCCTCAACTGGGTCTACAGGACCTTTCAGTACCAACCTGACCCTGGTTACTATGGTTACGATGAGGTCCGTGTATACGCCCAGGACCAAGCAGGGGTATACTCGGATGTCATCACAATCAAACCAACTGTTATGGAGAGGCTCTGCGAGAATGAAGGAACATGCAAAAGTAAGTGATGGCGTTTGTTTGTCTGCTCCGTATAAACATAAAATCAGCCGAAAACCATACCCTTCGATGAAGCTACATACATTATAACAGGGCGCAAAGCCTTTATAATGATGTACTACACCAAACAACGTACAGTAAATCATAAAATTAATGCGTCTCCAAAAGATTGCGACCGCTGGTCCCTAGCCAAAAATGCGACTCAATATGAATGCGACACCCCCTCCTCTCAAGCATCAGTGGATTTATGTCAGATTTATAGGAGAATCCTCGGCGCAAAGCGATCGTAGCTCTAAGACGATCGTAACTCCCATACTTTAACATAGATTTACGACAGTCGTAGCCCTAAGATGGCTTTGTGGAACGAGGCCCTGCTATTAAAATGTTGATATATTTGAAATGTTGCTGCTTTTTCCGTTTGAGATGAGAATTCGCTTTTCATGAATAAGTGGGTTAAGATTTAACGTCGTATCGGCATTATTTCAGCCATACAGCGACATCTATTCTTGAAACACTTAACTTTCCATATGCAACTCCTTTCTCATCTCCTGAGTAGACATGTCTAATCTATGGCCGTAACAATAAATTCAAAACTAATAAGGAAAGAAACAAATCACAAATTAAACACACATATCGTGGATATGTGCATCCTGAAATCTACTGGGTGAACAGAAACGTTAATCTTACTGAAACGGATTAAAAGGGGTCAAGGGTTAAGGATCTTTTTAAATCCTGGAAATCGTTATTGAAATTACCCGTGATCTATAAAACGGTTCATGATAACATTCATTTATTTCCCTTTCCCAATTTTGAAAAATTCAGTTTGTTCTCATTTTAATTAACATTTGACAAAGTTATTTCTCTGCATTCAACTAGCCATGAGGTTGCATTACATCCCCTTGTTTTCACTGACGTGTTGGTGTATATAAAAGAAAGTGCTGCGACAATAAGCATTACACTACAAAATCGACAGGCATCAATAGAACTGGTCGTAAGAGGCGACTAACGGGATCGGTTGGTCAGGCTCGCAGACTTGGTTGATGCATGTCAACTTATCCCAATTGCGTAGATCAATGCTCATAATGTCAATCACTGGATTGTCTGGTCCAGACTCGATTATTTTCAGACCGCCGTCACATAGCTGGAATATTGTTGAGTGCGGCGTTAAACAACAAACAAACAAAGAAACAATAGCACTGGTTGATGTAAAAACGCAAACTGTATATCTCCTAACTATATAATCTCAGCAAAGTACATGATGCCATCCCCCCGTGAAGATCCTTTATTTATTGGCCTTCAATAAGTCGTAAAAGGGGACTAACCGGCCTGACCGTATTCCCGAGGCCGGTTCCTCCCCAGTTTACACTTGACATTCATAGTAAATTAACTGCCTTGCCCCCCTTCGTTTCACTCTCGTAAAATCGCTGCCACCAGTATGGGCGCGGCCATTACAAGAATTTTTAAATTTGCCTTCTAACCCCAAATGTAGTAAAGTTGCTACGTGTGTTTATGTCTTTGGGAATGCCATCATAGTTCATTTTGAAAACGTTTACGACTGACCACATTTCCCAGATGAATTAACCTTGTTGGTTTAATCACATTGGTTCGAGATTGCAGACTAACGGAAAATCAACCAATTTCTCCCTTACATTCTTACTAAGGCAATTACGTGATAGTTGAAATGAAACAGAAATTCAAAGTGACAAACAGAGAAAATACTTCAGGTGGGGTAAGCGTATTCGGCGTCACGGCATCACTTGTTTGTAACAACGGTCAGTCGGCTGCGAGTTCAACTCCAAGGATGGTGAAGTCACTTATATCACAGAGGGGAGTTTTGACTGGTTCAGTGGTAGTTTAGAGAGCTCCGCGAACGGGCTATTGCTGTGAGGAGCTTGAGGAAGATGGGGCGTGGCTCGCTGATTTGGTTAATGCATGTCATCCTATCATCCTATCCTATCCTATTGTGTAGATCGATGGTCATGATGTTAATCACTGTATGGTCTGGCCCAGATTCGGCTATTTACAGGCCGCCGTCATATAGCTGGAATATTACTGAGTTATTTGTCTCAAGTGATTCCTCCTCATACATAATTCCAGGCAAGAATGAAAGCTTGTACAACTGCACCAACTACCGCCGTGCTGAAGGTTTTGACCTCTACTACGAGTGTGCGTGCGCACCTGGCTGGACCGGCATTCATTGCGAGGATGACGTCAATGAGTGCAGCAGCTCTCCATGTTCCTGGCCGTACGTCTGCTACAACGACGTCAACAGATACTACTGCGCATGTGCAAACGATAATCCCAACTGTGATGGGTTGCAAGCATGGATGATCGGTCTGGTTGTGTTGGCGGTGATATTGATAATCATCTTATCTCTGCTAGCTTGGTATCTCTGCATGCTGAAACGAGGGTAGGTACTGCGCATGTCCGCATGGCTACGTCAATCAATGGGTACGTCAATCAATGGGTACGTCAATCAATGGCTACGTCAATCAATGGGTACGTCAATCACCTGTCGAGTATAAAACGAGTAAGACACCAAATATAACACGACGTTCCAATTCCATTCAAATTGCCGAAAATACACATTTTCGTATTGAGAGGACCTACTGGTATGACGATATAATAATAATATCAATAATAATGTTTAATTATTTATTCATATTATATTTGTAAACAACCAAAACGCGACTCTGACAATTAAGTTTTTTGCCGAATCGTTCCTGAATACTTTGATGAGGAATGTTCTGTTCAAATGGACGGGTAGACATATGTTTGGATACAATATAAGAGAGTATTACCTGCTGTACAGATCTATCGACCAACAATATCTTTTTTCCTGCCGTGTTTGGCACCAAATTTTAAACAATATGATCGACAAGGGTAGGGAGGTAACTATTTCACTTGTCATTTAAAGAAACACTCAATGCAGTACACTCATTTCACAACCGATGTTTTTTTATCCCACCGGAGTAGATCATGAAACATGTTTTGTATTTAATTCTACATAAATATTTCGGCCAGTGCCACCTTTGCTTTGAAAATATGTGAACCCAGTTACAATAAAGCACCTTCGGTATAAGTCATGTCAGTTTAACTTAACCGGTCTTCTCTCTCGAATTAATCCGTTTCAGCATACCCCAATAATAATAATAATAATAATAATAATAATAATAATAATAATAGGTCATTTATGTTGCGCATATTTCCACAACACCCAGGGGCATGCTCAAAGCGCTATTATCACTGTATCAGTGTGCACTCAAGACTCATTCTCAGCTCCCTGGGGAGTAAACAACAAGACAAAGAATTTTGTTATTTGTCCCCTGACGAAATGGAAGCCAGTGTAAGTTACAAAGAACAGGGAGGATGTGATGATTCTTGCTAGCGGCTGTGTTTTGAACACGTTGAAGTTTGTTAATAATTGATTTTGGTGTACGAGTCACAAGGCTATGGCCGTACCCTATCCTGGATATGGAAAGGGAGAGAACAAGCGTGATGGTAGATTCCCCAGTGAGGTATCTCCTGGTTTGACACTGAACTGTCCCGCTACAATTGGATGTCCACCAGAGGTAACCACTGTCCAGTTCTTCAAGATTATGTTCACATGTTTTTCCAGACGGATGCACTTGTCCTTGATGTGGTACAGGTTCTTCCGTTTCCGACCGGAAGGATCCAGAACACCCTTTGTCAATGAAGGCTTTAGTGATGTAAGTATGTTTAGAAGTGTAAAATACGTTTTTACACCAATGTAGCAAGAATTCAATTTTTACACCAATGTAGCAAGAATTCAGTTGGAGTGAAGACATCAGAATGGGCTTCGAGATTGTGTCCATGTTGGGAATTGAACATAGGTTTTTAGTAATGGGCACTTAACACTTGAACCACTAGGCTACTATACTTTCCCTTTTTGCCTTGAGCTGGTTCTATTCATTCGACACATTAACATTATCAGAAATCATTGCTGTTCCTCACATTGATATATATTTTTGTCTAATTTACATCGGCTCCTCGTCCTCCTGACCTATCGTAAATGACATTGATAATTGTGAACTAAGTGTTAACAGTTACTTCTGTAAAATACACAGGTAGATAATATACAGGCACCCTAAACAAAGATTGGTCTTCTTCGATGCTCAGACTCTCCAACGCATGATTTCTCAATCCAGTTCCAACTGTAATTCATCGAACTCTGTTAAACTGGCATTCTTTAACTTGTTTTGATATCAGCCATAAAAATGAACTGATCTTTTTATTTGTTTTTTTCTGGTGCTTTATCAAAAATAGCTAATTTTCTCTCTTGCAGGACTTGTGTGGAAGTGAGAAAAGTCATAAGGTACGTGTCATTGTTTGGTTACTCCTCAATTCACTAACATATATGTTCAACGTAACGCAAGTCACGTTAACTTCCAAATATTTCAAAAGACAAATTCACAAACCAGAAACGACAAATGATACCTGGTTAAACTCAGAAACATTAACCAGTTTACAATTCTTATCATTTGAGCTCACAAATCGATGCAGTTTCATATCAACTGTCTTCCTTTAGAAGATTAGTCTTCATTTAATTACATTCAAATCAAACTGTTCACAGTCCCGTGGGTTGTCCGGAGCGTCCAGCGTGTTCATGTCCACTTGGCGCCCAGATGGCCCCACAACCCCGATTAGGTCAGAACGATCTCTGCGACCAGTACCCAGTCTTCCCGACCACCATGTGGTGAGTTGTTACAGTGTAGTTATTTAAACAGTTACAAAAAAAACGGGTAGGTGTTGTTTATCGTACAATAAAACAATGCAGGGAGAATAAACCATGAAGATCGCAGCTTCGAATGGTTTCATCGCCCTGCAGTGTTTTATTGTACGATAAACAACGACCACGAGTCTTTAATTTAAAGTTGTTAAAATGTACAAGCTTTAAAAATATTAACCCACATTTTAATAATGATGTCTCCTTGAATAGAATCCGACCTAGGAAATGGATAAGTCCATTTTACGAACGGGTGGGTTAAGTTGGGTATTTCCCGCATATTCTCACAATCCTTGATTATCTGTACCTTTTCGCCTAATACCGTTTCTCATATCTTTCCCAATTTGGATGCGATCGCTCGGCCACTGCGTTTATCAGCGTAGCCTAGCTACATCTATGGGGAACCATTTACTGGACACTTCCCTCTCAAAAATAAAGTCGTCCGGTATATGACGTCATCAAGTTGCGAGCGCATGTACAAATCTCCAGAAATGACGTCATGATAGAACAAAGTTTGATGGTGAAAAAAACCACGTTGTTTGGCCCTTATTCAAGTATGTTAATGATATCATCCATGTCAGCGTGACGCACGAATGCGGCGTCAAAGACCAAGGTGCATAACTTGGGCGAAACTGGATTTGACTGCTCGACCAGCAGTTTTCTAGATAGGACATATGGTTTTCAGTATGCCATTAATATATGTTTTATTTCTCCAGGCAAAAAGCCCAAAGGGTGAACCTTATCCCGGAGAGGCAAACATCCGCTTTGACCACTCCAGACATCAACAGACTCGTCCTGACTTCACTCGTGGTGCAACAACGGCCCGGCCAAGAACACCAGTCGAGGATTACGAAGAAAGACCAAGCAGTTCATCCTCTCTTATCAGGGGCAAGTCTCCGGTCAGAAGAAAATTACCCGTACCGGAACCGGAACCCTACCCAGACTATGATTTGTGAAGAACTCTAAACATTTTTACTTTGTCTTGAAGAATATACTGAAATGAAGACTGTAACTTACTTCTTCTGTTATTCTATGTGTCGTCCAAATTGTTGATTTAATATTTATGTTATTATACCAAAGGTTGATCAAATCAGTTTTTTATGTAACGTGTAAAATCCCAAGTCTAATAATCTAATTACAAGGGCTTCCATTGATGGAAACTGCTGACAGGATGTCATCGATAAATGATATATGAATGTTGGCCGTGTGTTTCCATTAATGAAATCTCACAGATTATTCTGCTGTTGTAACAAAGTATGATATACACGCATATATCTCGAGCGGACACTCGAAACTTGAGTATGAAATTGTTAAGGTACAAATTGAAGCAGGTATGTAAATTGTGTTCATCCGTATAAGAGGGATATTTATTTTCTTTTTAACAGTTCAATGTTATATATTTTGGATGGTATTTATGACAACCAAACAAGAAAAGGACACAAATATAATTATATTTCGCTTAATTGTACTAGTTTATAAAGCTCTTAAACATTTATTGCGTTTCTTGCAAATAAATATTCTTCATCAATTGAAAAGTCGTTTTCGTCTTTAATTAACTTTAATAATTATTAATTAACATTCATTCATTGGGCGGAACATGAGTAAACTGACGACTCATCTCCGGTTTGTAACCACGTGATCAAAACTCAATGAATGTGTTTATCGCAAGCAAAATGGATATTTCTTGAAAAACTCACTGTGCATTTTTTGCTATTACTGTAAATAACATTTCTTTTCTGCGGAATGGTTTGTTTTCACTTCATATAAGTATTGGCACACATTCAGAATGTTTGTAAATTAATCATCGCGAAATTACGTGATTGTATTTCAAGTGGCGGAGACTATAATCCACATGTACAGAGGAGCTCATAAGTGACAGTCACTGGTGCATAACATTGTTTTGATAATACTGTAGGCAAAGTGCACTGTAGGTGATAGTAGACCTAACCCAGGGAAGGTGGGCAGGCGAGCCAAGGAACAGCAGATTACCCAAGGATCGTAGGCAAATTACGGAGCCTCAGATCCGTTCCATGACCTTAGTACACCAGTGCGCAATGTACACAGTGGTTGTCGACTGCCTCCGTGGTGTAGTGGTAGATCGTCCGCCCGGAGAGAGGAAGGTCCAGGGTTCGATCCCCGGCCGCGTCATAACAAAACACGTTAAAAGATGGTACTTGTTGTTACCCTGTCTGGCGCTCGTCATTAAGGGGCTAAAGCAAGGACTGGTCGGCTCGGATTCAGTATACTGTGTCTGAGTGGAGTATTCATGTTAAACTGCGGCATGGTATCTCAGTGAGCTAGCACTATAAATCGGCATCAGTCCGGACTAGTACAAGCAGCCACACACACACACACACATACACGTGCATGCACGTCGCTATATAAGTGCAATAATCTTGGACGCGACGTTAAACCCAATTTCACCTCAGCTCACAGTGGCTGTCAGAACCTGACGTTATGAGTGAGTGTGGTTTTACGCCGTTTTAGCAATATTCCAGGCGGGGGACACCAAAAATAGGCTTCACACATTGTACCCATGTCGGGAATCGAACCCGGGTCTTCGGCATGACGAGCGAACGTTTTACCCACTAGGCTACCCGACCGCGCTGAAATGATGAATATGGCGGCACAAAATTATAATGCATTCGCAGCACACTTATTACAGCATATATTATTTGATTTAGAGAAAAAGGTATAACTCTGAAAAGTACAGATTGAATCTGTAACAACGTGCCGATGATTATTTAACGAGTTGGTATTTCGTCATTTTACAAAAAGATCCTTTGCACAATAATTACATTATTTAACCTTTACATGTGCATATTGGGATTTCGAATATATGACTATCGGAAAGAGACAATGAACAATGTGTCTCACTCAGCATTATGTCACACTATTTGCAGCAATGCTTTTGGGCATCAAACCCAGAACTGTGACTTGATGAGAAACGATTTAACCCCAAGCCTACCAAATTGGCCCATGGGGGTCACATTAAAGGTGTTTGTAGGGGTGGGGGCATGGAAGATATTTAACTGTAACCTGCAGTGTGTATGTTGTGGGTGTTTTTTTGGGGGGTGTCACATTCCGGTGAGGGGATTGGGTGTGCTCATGTCGAATTTCAAATTTGTTTCTTCAGTTGTGGGTGTGGGTAGGGGAGGGGTATCATATCTTCGTTTTCCTTCTGTAGGAGTCACGTATTGCGACTCGAATGTACAAAGGTATTTCAATTGTACGAAATATTTTTGTTTCATTTGTGTACATGTGTTGTTTTCAAATGGGGTGGTCGTACCCTATGTGTTAGCATGCATGGTTGACAATCAGACAACCGAAGTTTTCCTACATCAGACCCTTGGCCATGTCTATTCATTGACCAAAATATCACCTCACCCACCTATTCCAAACCCTCTCCCCTACACATACCCTTTTCTCTACCACATGTCTGTAATCTAACTGAAATCTACTTAAAGCTTCTATTGAACAACAGGGTAGTGTGCTATTACATGATTGACGTAAATGGCCTGGCTGCCTAGCGAATGCAGAATGTTCAATGAGCTGTTAATGGGGCTTTTATCGCGCGCTGTCAGTCGATCAAAACATTCCTGTATTTATTTACATTGTATATGCATGTTAATCGTCAGATTACTTTACAAATCCGTTCGTGTTTACTTACAACTTAATCAGTAAATAACTACCTGCATACATACATATTCATGTCGGGCATACTTTATATGGTAATGATAATGGTTATCAATAATGTACAATAAAAACAGATATTGGGTTTCACGTCACATCAGCTTCTCTAAGTGAGTGAGTTGGGTTTAACGCTGCTTTTAACAGTACTCCAGTTATATCATGGCGTGTCGGCTTGAGGAAGCCCGATGTGAAACCCACGAGCACGGGTATGGTGCTGACAATCCTAGAAACATAATCAGGTCGAACCGGGTTTCGAACCCACAATCATAGGTTTCTGGCGTGCCCAATGGACATAGCGACTGGGGGGCCCGTGCCCCTAAGCTTGTCTTAGTGTTGACAGAAGGCTGAAATATATGTAGTTCACATGTGTATGCAGCTTTGTCGGCTGGCATTAACACTGGGCCATTCAGTGTCCTCATGGAGGGAACGTGTAGACCAGTGGTCAGCTACGATGAGTTGCGTCCCTTAGGCGTGCAAGGATCTGCTGGTCGTGAGTTACCTGAATACCTGAATCGTTAATCCAATATGTTTGTGATGAGCGTCTGTGACACGACGTGGCATTTTCTCTGAGGTAAAACTGATTCGCCGTAACATAACTAAAGAAAGTTGAAAGCAGCGTTAAACCAAAGTCATTTGAATTTCCAAAAATGTCGTCGATATGGGTCACTTCGGCCTTTCTTCTCAAATTAAGTCGACGCTTGATCATATTTAATGATCGAAATATCTACTCATCTCCCAAAAATTCGATTTATTAAATTTCTTCTTTTTTTTGTCCATTCAGCAGGCAAGGCAGCCTTTAGCTAATCGAGAACAGTCTAATTAAACCAGTGGTTGATAGCATAAGCATCGAACTACCCCGTCGGGTTCAGTGATACACACTCAGCCAGGCACACGTCACATTGGGATTCTCATATAGTTGGCTAATATTACAATGGCAGTTCAACACCGACATCTCCATGGGACCATTTCCTTTTCAAAGCATCATTGTTTGTGCTTCCTGAGCATTTAATCAGAGAGTGTCAGGACACATTCATGTATTCTTGGCTTACGTTTTCAATATTTTCTCACATACGATTATTTTATTTCAAGCAGATATAATCATTAATGATTGGAAAACCATATTTTGTTTCTCTTCTTCATAAGATGCATTTAGACTTCAAGTAGACACTTTTATTTCTGAAACATGAAATACTCGTTCAATATAGAATAGCAGATCGACATTGCGCGAGAATGTTAATATGATAAGTCCTATTTTCCAGATGCAGAAACAGATCTAATACTGCCCGTTACACTGAGCCATACATGTTGTTCTTGCCTAAACCTGTAGAAAAGAAATTGTATCATTAACCTCAAGCACAACACTACTGAGATTTTGCCTTTGTTTGTTTGTGTGTTTAACGCCGTACTCAGCAATATTCCAACTATGTGACGGCGGTCTGTAAATAATTGAACCTGGACAAGACAATCCTGTTATTGACATCGATCAACGCAATTGGAACACGATGACATGCATCAACTTAGTCAGCGAACAGACCACCGGAACCCGTTAGTCTCCTCTTAGGCAAGCATGGGTTGCTGAAGACCTAGTCTACCTCGGATCTTCACGGGTCGCTAACACTTGCATAGAATCATCACTATTTGATAGTGATTCATAGAAAAACATGCTCATTTTATAGTCGGAATCGTACAATCAAGTCTGCTTTTGGTAGATATTTCCTATAATATGATGTGTACTTTTATTATTATCATTATTATTATTATTATTATTATTATTATTATTATTATAATAGGGGAAGTCGGGTAGCCTAGTGGTTAAAGCGTTCGCTCGTAACGCCGAAGATCCGGGTTCGATTCCCGACATGGGTACAATGTGTGAAGCCCATTTCTGGTGTCCCCCGCCGTGATATTGCTGGAATATTGCTAAAAGCGGCGTAAAACCATACTCACTCACTATTATTATTATTATTATTATTATTATTATTATTATTATCATTATTATTATTATTTACAGATTAAAATAAAAAATCCAGCAAAGGTGTGGGTGATCCTGGTCCAGTCAAGCTGGTTAGGCTCATCATCAGCTCAGGGCCCTTGCCCCCTCTACATGCAGCCCAGACAGCGAATGGGACTTCTCCCAGGAAGCGCTGCCTAGTCAAACCCACCCAGAACTTTTGGGAGAATGTGAAGACCCTCCAACACTGCAGCTTTCTGCATTACCCAGATTGTCAGAAGAGCTGTATTCCTGGTAGGAAACCCGGGTACTCTCCCAATGTCAGTCAACAGATTGGGAGGTACCAAACCTAAGGCACCGAGTACAATGGGGACAACTTGGTACTTGGGATTCAAGCGTGACATTTCGAAAGCGAGGTCCGTATATTTACCATGTTTTTCTTCAATCTTGTCAATCACATTTGTGTCAAAGGGGACAGAAAATTCAATGATATAAATGATTTCATTGGATTTATCCAAAAGGACAAGATCAGGTTTGCTGGCCTGGATACGTCTGAGGCAGTAAATGGGCCTATTCCAAAGAATTTTGTATTGATCATTTTCCATGACGCCCTCTACATATTCCGGTTCGTACCATGGATGGACCTCTGTGTCAAAACCACAAGCATGGCGAAGACGGTAATAAAATGATCGAGATACACAATCATGTCGTTTAAGATACTGTGTTTGTGCCAAAGCTGGGCATCCACTCACAATATGTTGGACAGTCTAATTAAATTCATTACATAATCTACATTTCATATTTACATTTTGATGCAAAATCACACATTTCGAGTTGGAAGTGACTGGTCCTTTAGCAGCAAACAGAAAGCCTTCTGTTTCACTTTTCAGGCCAGACGACTTTATCGAAGCAAAGGACTCTGCAGGACTGCTGATATTCTCAACACACTGCACATAAACTCGATGCAGTGGTGTTCAGAGAGCTTCCCTTTTAAAAACTGAGTCTGGGCCGACTTGATATGGCACTTCGCTTGGTTGACACTCATTTCTGTACCGTCCAGCAGTACAGAAACATCAACAAAATCAACACCGACATTCAGAGTATGTCCCACATCCTTGGCTCGTTTAAGAAAACTGTGGAAAGCCTTGTTTTCATCTTGACATGCTTCACAAGAGGATCATCAGACAAATAAATGTGTGCAAAAGTGAACAAAATATTTCTATCATGAAGAACCCCAACGTTAATCAAACCACGTCCTCCCATAATGATTGGTAAATATAAGCGATTGAGGGAAGAGCGAGGGTGGTGGGATCTGTTGATTCTTCGCGTGAGGGTGTCAATACCCTGAATTTCTTGTTTCGTCCAATCAACAACACCAAAGGATTACGAAAGGATGGGTATAAGTATTTGTGGTTTTGACTTTGTTGCGAGCGTTCAGCTCTGAACTCCAGATTTTCTTAAAGTCTACATTTGTACTCTGCCCGAATTTTTCCTTGATATGGGCATTCTGGAGTTTGTCCCTAATCCCTAAGTACGTATAGGCCTGTAGTAGTAGTATTATTATTATTATTATTATTATTATTAAGATGATGTGTCGAGCGCAACCTCAAACTTCTTCTCAACGTCGCTATGAATAAGGTCATTGATGGTAAGGACATGTTCATATTGATAGTATTTAATTTTTTGTCGAGTCTCCACTAGAGATTTGTAACAGGATCAGTCAAAGAAAACTCCGTGCTGCATGAGCCTGTCACAACTACCTGGTTATATCAACTTCCTTGTTTCCCCAACCCAATCGCATTGCACCTGCCTGCGCTTGTACAATTGAGCTGAAACTTAGTTCAGTCATGTAAGACGTCGCTGAAGATTATAGCTATACAACAACTTTGGAAAAGAATTTATCCTTCAAAATGCCGGGAAATCATTTTCCGGCAATTTGTGGAATAGTTGTTTTACTGACATGTGCTTCTTCAAGTTTCATTAACTTTGAACCGGGGTTTGAGTACCAGTACGAGTATGATTCGAATGCAAATGTGAAAAACATTGGAGATTTTCAAGTGTTAGCCAAGGTGAGTTGTTTATTTCCATATTGTTAATTTTTCTAATTCCGCGTATTCATAATCAAAATATACCAATGGGAAAACATAAGCGAATAGGCCTAAAGGAAATGATTGACGTTAGATTTAGATCTACCCGTGCATCACCGGGTATTCTTTTGCAGTAATGACGCATGAAATACACTGGATGTCGGTTTGTTGAGATGAAGCAGAATAGTCGTCCCCAGGCCAGTGTGAATGCTAATTGTTTCCGTCAGTTCATTTATCGACTATGCATTACTTTATATTTATTCATATTTGTGTAAACAGTAACTACATCCATTTCTCAGTATTCGTTTACCTTAAAGGGCCCTCTACATCTGTCAGTTATTAGAGTCTGCAACTGAGACAGCATTGACAAAATATTTAACAGTATGTGAGTGAGGTTGGTTAGTGAATGAAATGAGCTCTTAATGAATATGCATAAAGTATGAATGCTAAATACACAGGGAGTGTTAATAATCTACCCATATCTAAATTACCACGACGCAAGTCTTTAGGGTCGGAACACATCGCCAGTTGACTGAAGGCGCAGCTGAACAGCGACTCGGGTCTCTTAAGTTTCGTTGTGCCCCTGACGCTGCCGTAGCAGCTAATGCACATTTCGGGAGTATCTCCAAGAGAGTCGTTCAGTCAGTTTAATTTTCAGCTACTTTATGGATCGGGGTCGCTCCATAGAAGACAATATAAGGTTTTATGCGGTAGGGAAATGGGGTAGAGAATGGGGTCGGGCTGGGTGGAGGGACAGGTGGTTGGCTTTTGGTTACGATTTGATTACTTTCTTAATCAAAACTATAGTTGCTAATGCCTGGATGGGATGGATTGCAGATAGAGGTATTTAGGATAGTAAGTAAATGATACTTTGAAAGATAAGACGGTATGTAATATTACGCCTTTTAGGCTTAAAACAGTCTAGCTAAGGACATTGAGTTTGTTTCTGAACAAACTTAAATCCCATACAACGGATAAGATTAACATAAGTAATATGACGATCATGAGAACGTGCAGCGTCTGTACTTTAAGAACATGTTTTGTACACACTCAAGGCCTAAGAGGTTTGTTAGATATCGCTGTAACTAAACACCCGAGTGAAGTTGACATTTAATATACACACGATGGGGCGGTCCATCAATATGGAACCTTGTCACAAACCTACACCTACACCTACACCTACACCTACACCTACACCTACACCAACACCTACACCTACACCTACACCAACATCTACATCTACACCTACATCTACACCAACAACCTACATCGACACCTACACCTACACCATCTACACCATCATCTACACTTACAACTTACAACAACATCTACATCTACACCTACACCTACACCAACAACCTACATCGACACCTACACCTACATCTGCACCTACACCTACACTTTTCTGGTTCCAATTTAGATGAAAACTTTCGGAAACGTATTCCCGTTCCAGAATTAGAATGTTATTGTGAGTGTAATTCTTCCTGATTCAAAAGGGGAAAGTAACCCTCTTAGGACTTACGACAGAAGCAGCATCACTATCGCTTTGCGGAGCGTGACAAGCCCAATAATGACGATGCACGACACAAGCTCTATAATTAACCTTTCAATGTATTCAGGGTGCCAGTTGAAGCGCAAGAAGCACGCAGTTGTCTTGCGTCTACCTCACATGTCTGACCAGGTATTTCCTGGGACAAACGGACTCGTGTTGTTCAAGTCGTCCTGTGATATCCAATTCCCTATGTGTTAGGCAAGGTGATTATCTTTGTGGTATCGATTTCATGATCGACGTGGATCAATAGTCGACCTGAAAACATTATAAAACGATTTTGAGTGGGAATGTGACATTTCAGATGACGTAAGCTATTTATTTGGAGGTCTAATCACACACATGACGGTTATGTTCCGTAATATGATCAAATATATTGTTTGTGCATATGTTAGAGGTGTTTTGAGTCCGTTTGAAGCGATGATTTTTTGTATCGAATGTAAGAATGCATAGAGTTATCAATCGAGTTCTCCATGAACAGTGAGTGAGTGTGGGGAAACGCTTTGAACAGTATTTCAGTAACGATTACATACCGGCGTGCAGGAGTAGAGTCCGAAGTGACGCAGGTCATAGACCGTTACCACTGTTCGTGTTTTACAACCATACTTCTCGCCGTCTTAGATATTTATGTGTTTCTGAATTTAATTAGACTATACCCGATTATTAAAAGGCTGCCTTGATATAATTTCGAATATTGTTTCGTTATTTCAAGTTTATTTCAAACTTGAACAGCATCGAAGTAATGAGAACAAAATCAAAATTTCGAGTTGTGATATATTACTGATACAGCTTATGAAAACTAAAGCAACAGAACCCTTTCCATATTCATAAGAATAGACCAAGAGCAGCGTCGATTGTACGATGTTATCGCAATAAGAGGACTCGGGTAGGGAAATCAAGCAAATCAGTTATTTAAACTTTTTTGGGGTTCCATGCTTACTCAAACGGTTTGGCGAATATCATTCATTCTAAATGGAATACCCTGCTTCTACAGACAATGTCTTCGTTTCACACAAGACCTAGACTAGAAATAGGCACAAGACCTTGCCTAGCGAATCGAGAAAGTTCAATGTGGTGTTAAATAAATATTTTCATATTGCATATGCATGTTAATCGTCAGATTTCTTTACAAATACGTTCGTGTTTTCTTACAACTTAATCAGTAAATAACTACCTGCATACATACATATTCACGTCGGGCATATTTTTTTCTGGTAATGATAATCTTTATCAATAATGCATAATAAAAACAGATATTGGGTTTCACGTCACATCAGCTTGTCTAAGTGAGTGAGTGAGTGAGTTGGGTTTAACGCTGCTTTTAACAGTATTCCAGTTATATCACAGCGTGTCAGCTTAATGTGGGAGGAACGCCCGAAGTGATGCAGGTCTAAGACGCGTACCACTTTGGTGAAACCAACGAGCATGGGTATGGTGCTGACAATCCTAGAAACATTATCGGGGCGAACCGGAATTCGAACCCACAATAATAGGTTTCTGGCGTGGCTAAGGGACGCAACTCCGCATAGCGAATTGCGGCGCCTTAGACGACTGGGCCCCCCGTGTCTAAGTGTTGTCTAAGTGTTGACAGAAGGCTGAAATATATGTAGGTAACATGTGTATGCAGCTTTGTCGGCTGACATTAACACTGGGCCATTTAGTGTACTTGTGGAGGGAACGTGTGGACCAGTGGTCCGCGTCCCTTAGTCGTGCAAGGATCTACTGGTCGTGAGTTACCTGAATACCTGAATCATGAATCCAATATGTTTGTGATGAGCGTCTGTGACATGACGTGGCATTTTCTCTGAGGTGAAACTGATTCGCCATAATATAACTTAGTAAGGCTGAAAGCGGCGTTTAACCAAACTCATTTCAATTTCCAAAAATGTCGTCGATATAGGTCACTTCGGCGTTTCTTCTCAAATCAAGTCGACGCTTGATCATAGTTAATGATCGATATATCCACTGATTTCCCAAACATTCCATTCACTGAATTTCGTGGGTTTTTTTGTCCATTCAGCAGTCAAGGCAGCCTTTTGCTAATCGAGAACAGTCTAATAAAACCAGTGGTTGATAGCATAAGCATCGATCTACCCCGTCGGGTTCAGTGATACACAATCAGCCAGGCACACTTCATATTGGGATTCTCATATAGTTGGCTAATATTACAATAGCAATTCAACACCGACATCTCCATGGGGCCATTTCCTTTTCAAAGCATCATTGTTTGTGCTACCTAAACATTTAATCAGAGAGTGTCAAAACACATTTATATTCCTGATAAATTTCTGTCGGCTTACGTTTTCAATATTTTCTCACATACGATTATTTAATTCCAAGCAGATGCAATCATTAATGATTGGAAAACCATAGTTTGTTTCTCTTCCTCATAAGATGCATTTAGAATTCAGGTAGACTGTCCGTTACACTGAGCTATACATGATGTTCGTGCCTAAACCTGTAGAAAAGAAATTGTGCCATTAACTTCAAGCACAACACTACTGAGATTTTGTCTCTGTTTAGTTGGTGTTTAACGCCGCACTCAGCAATATTCAAGCTTTGTGACGGCAGTCTGTGAATGATTGAACCTGGACAAAACAATCCTGAAATTGACATCGTTAGACGCAATTGGGACACGATGACATTTATCAAGCAAGTCGACCACCGGATCTTGTTATTCGCCTCTTACGCCAAGCATGGGTTGCTGGAGACCTATTCTACCTCGGATCTTCACGGGTCGCAAATACTTGCATAGAATCATCCCTATTTGATAGTGATTCATAAAAAACATGCTCATTACATAGTTGGAATCGTACTATTATTAAGATGATCTGTCGAGCGCAATCGCCGCTATGAATAAGATCATTGATGGTGAGCACATGTTCAGACTGATATCATTTAATTTTTTGTCGTGTCTTCCCTAGAGATTTGTAACAGGATTAGTTGAAGAAAACTGCGTGCTGCATGGCCCCTCCTGACAACTATATCTACACATAAATCAACTTCCTTGTTTCCCTGACCAAATCACACATGTACAGCACATGTCCATGTGTGTAGAATAGAGCTGCAACTTTGTTCAGTCATGTAAGACCTCGCTGAAGAATATAGACGTGAAACACATCTAGAAAAAAAGGATTTGTTCTTCAAAATGCCGGGAAATCATTTTCCGGCAATTTGTGGAATAGTTGTTTTACTGGCATGTGCTTATTCAAGTTTCATTAACTTTGAACCGGGGTTTGAGTACCATTTTAAGTATGATTCCAATGCAAATGTGAAAAACATCTGAGATTTTCAAGTGTTAGCGTAGGTGAGTTGTTGAGTCCTATTTTATTTCCATATTGCTTATTTTTCCCATTCCGCGTATTCATGATCAAAATATACTAATAGGAAGACATAAGCGAATAGGCCTAAAGGAAATGATTGACGTTAGATT